TTTTCTCGCTTCCAAGGAGCTAACATTTACATATGCATAATATTGATTCATGTGTGCTGGAGTACTTCAAAAATGGGGCAGAAGAAAACAATAGTATTTCCGAAACAAATAATATAGTCTGTTCGAATGCCTAACCAAGAACATTCAGTCGACCCTATAAAAGAATGCATAAGAAAAATTTATTACTCAAACGTAGCTACAAAAAAACAAAATTTTTTAGTTCTTTTTGCTCGGCAATTTGTCAATATCTATAACGATTATAAATTAGCATAATTTTTTGACGTGTTGCAGTATATTTGCAGAATGCTGAGTTTGAAAAAAAAGCTTTGTTTCTTGTATGATTAAGGAATTACCATCATTATGGTAATTATTTTAAAACACCTAGTTTTTAAGCTAATAAACACTGATAATTATGTTACTGTAATTTCAGTAAGTGAAAAGCTTGACTTACGCTATGGACTGAATGAATGAATAACTGCAACTATTTTCCACTAATACATTAATTGTCCATCCCCTTCACCTGAGGCCTCAGTATTTGTGTTTAGTGTGCATTTTTTGTTTGTGTGTCATTTGGGTTTTTATAGAACCGTTTACAGGATGAAGCGCTATCGAGCGTACTGTCGGAGATGGGTCGACGAAAGTTGCCTTCACTGCCACCGCAACGTACTGAGAAGGCCAGTGAAGGTCTACCACCACCGATCTACCTCACTTCAAGCGCACCACTTTATTCGGCTGAAAGTGAACGCTCCACAGCTGCTCAAGAACAAAGTGCCTTTACACGAACGAAAGTTCGTACCAGTTCCTATAGCGATTTAACCAGACCTTCTTCTGCAAGCAGTGTCCTAAGTAATGCAGACTATCATTCGACAATCGATCCAACGATAATACCTGGTGCTACAATTGCTGGAGTAAAACCAAAAACTCGGCAAACTTCATCAGCAGTTACTGGTGGAAAATCTGCAGCGCTTTTGGCTCAAACAAATAAATATAAAATGCCAACAACGCTTGCACGAGTACTGCTAAAAAAAGAACTCAAAGAAGCATTGGAAAAACGTCGAGAAAGTTTGGAAGCTTGTGAAATTGAGGCCAACCAACGTCAGTACGTAGTTAGGCGTATGTTGTTAACTGGTCTATTGCCAGAGAGTCGCCCAGCTGAAATCGATGATATACCAAATGTAATTCCCTGTCTACTTCCAATTGAACTTATTAGTGGAGCAAATGTTATACCTACTACTAGTGCCTCAACTACCACTGCTCGAAAATTCACTGAACAGAAATGTTGCTATACTCAGTCACTACCATCAACGAGTAAAACTCAGAGTATTGCAATTTCAACAGAAGATGTTACACCCTCACCACTTCGTGCGAAATCGGTTGGCGTTCAAGCTGGCGACGTAGATTTAAGTTCTGGGCTTAGTTCTCCAGCTTCAGTCCAGACATTTTCTGTAATTCAAAAAGATAGGGGTTACCGGCGTTTAAACAGTTCTTTAATTACTTCTGTAGCACCAAAATATATGTCGACGGAAACGCAAACAGAACATAGTTCACTCAGTGATAGACGACGAAGCAAGATTGGCACATCATCTTCAGCTAAACGGAAAAGTACAAAAAAAATCTCTTCGTCTGATACGAACTTACTGGAGACAACTGCTAAATATTTTGCAGAATATGATCGGCAGTTACGTGAACATGGTCGATTAATGAGGCACCATTTCACGTTTGCAGACGACGATCCGGTTAAAAGGGAGACGAAAAAACAACGATTAATAGATGAGCTGGCGAGAAGGAAAGAGAAAATATCGTCTATGATTGATTTAAATACAGCGACTGATTACCCTACAGATTACGGCGCTTCTGACTACTCATCTACTGTTCCACATTACGGCTCACTTCCGAGGTTAGACTATACATCTAGTGTACGTCCCTCAAGATATAGGGAAGATTATGGTTTTTACAACTCTTTACCAAGGAATTACGAAAGATATCGTGACATGTATGATTATAATCAACCAGACTATGACCTGCTTCAACCGCAGACATTAGCTGGCATCAGAAGTGATCCGTTAACCCGTTCTCTGAACGATCTTCGGTTAGACACCGAGGATAGTATTATTGATCCAAGAGTGAGGACATCAGCTGCTCATTCTTTAGATTATTATGGTCGTTCAAACTATCCATATAGAGATACCAACCGCTCAGCTTTTGCTATGAGAAGACCCTATCCGTATGGAAGGCGATATGCAGCCGATGATTTGAACCCCCAGCGTTTGCAGTACAGTGATCTGGATTCATCTGGAAAACCAGATATGATTTCACAGTACGCAAACTTTCTGAGTAATCAGTTTAGGACCGATCAAGAAGAACAGCTGAGTAGAGAGCACAAAATAGGAGCGGGATTTTCAAATATCTCATCTTCACGGTTACCCACAAGAAGTCAGTACAGCGGTCCTATGAGTGATCCTTATCCAACTTATCGCGGATCCTATTCACAACAACGGTATCAGCCTTACGGCACTTCAAACTACAATGCTACGTCATACGACCCGTTGTATTCAGAACCAGCATCGAATCCTGTTGCATATCCCCAACGAATACCTGAAAGAAATATCCCATACACGAATTTGTATAACACCAGGTACGACGGCGACAGATTGAACAGCGCGCATCCATCACTGTATGAAGGTCAAGAATACACGGGAGAAATGCAGTTAAACACATTCCCAAATAGTAGTGATTATCGGTCGGAACCGTTTTATCCTAGGGAGCTTAGTCAAGTTTACAGCCGAAATGAAACAAACTATGGTTCACGGCAGCCACAGACTGCAACCGATTATGGTAACTTCTATAGGAATCGACAGCCACCGCCTAGTTTACCTTACGATTCATATGACAGTTACGTTAACGAAAGGTATCCTGGATATGGGCTACAAGATTCCTACCATACAACCTATAATTTGGCTGGACCACCATATACATCTACGCCGGCATATCCGCAAAACCGTCAAAACTTAAGTGTAGGCGGTACAACCGGTTTCAGTAATCCAAGTCGTCAAGGCCGAAATGAACCATCATCGTACAGTGTACCGTTGAATACCTACGGTACGCAACAGAATAACAACGTTTCACGGTATGGTCGAATATGGCCACAATCATCTACTACCTACTATGACGAATCGTATCCTCACGAAGATGCATTAACCCGTGTATACGCATCAGCGTCGGATCCATATCGGAGTCCCCGATCACAGCGTTTGGGTAATGCAGCTTCAACCAGTTATTCATGTATCTAAAAATTTTAGATTACAATATATACATACATTTTTTTCTTTCAACATGTCAACATTACTGATGTGTTTATATTAAATTTTTAATTATAGAAAGGTTTTTATGTTTTTCAAATATTTTTTTAGTCGGAAACAATTTATTATCCATCGTTCATGAATTTAGCTCACATGGATTTCAGCTACAATTTTTTCCTTTTTCTTTTTTTTTTTTTGGTAACTTTAGTTAGTTTGAATCTAAGAAATATTGCATCATAAGGATGTTAATTGTTCCGTATGTTTTCTTTTTTTTTTCTCTCTCTTCACTTTCTATTTTAGAAGTGTATTGAAGGAAAAAAAAAAGATTTGTTAAAAACCGCTTGGAGATATATATATGAAAAGTACATATGATCAATTTTTTGCCAAACTGCCGATTTTAAAGAATTGATCACAAGTGATCTCAACGTTGTGTTTTTTTGTGTATAATTTACTGTTGAAGTTAAAAATTTCTTTTTGTTTAAGTTAAAAATTAAGTGTTAACAAAGTTTTG